GTTTTTCGCTTAACCATTCCACAACCGCGCGGTACGGAAGCTTCTTCAGGCAGCCAGAGAAGTCGCCTCCGGCTGCCATTCTCGGGCTTGCGCATGCTACAAGAACTATCTCCCACGATATAAGAATAGTCACCGAACCAGAACCGCTGCCTCTATTCGACACCGAATCACCAATAAACTTTAATACAAAATCGTCGCCTATTGATTTGAACTGTTCCAAGAAGTAAAATCTAGCACTCGAAGAAGTAAAATCTCAACCAAATCGACAAGCTCAACCAAAGACAGCAACAATCTATTACATCAATCCGAGAAGCAAGGGATAGAGAGGAGGAGCCGCAAGAAACTACCTGACGAGCCGTCGATGAGCAAGACAAAGGAGATCTAAAAGCCCTAATAACTCACCAAACCCAGGACCTCGTCAAGAAGACATTTACCGCAACCTTTCGACAAGGAGACCACCACCTAGCACGAACTCAAAACCATCCCTATCCTCAACCCTAGGACACTGTCCTATAGCATCCATCAGAGGGAGAGACGAGGAGGCCAGATCGGAGCCGAAGCAGAGACGAAAACCATCATCAATATTTGGCGGAAACAAATCTAAAAACCCGATCTGAGACTAAACCATGGCTCTCCGGGAACTAGAAGCCGATGAAGAAGAAAGAGAGACAGCGAGGTCTCTTTTCCGGCGGCGGTGAGAGACCACGCGCGCCGAGAAAGGAGATAAAAAATTATGAGGTTGTGGCGGCTAGGTTTTATGTGGGAGAGAGAGAGCCGCTTAAAGGCCTGGACATCAAATTTTAGGGGGTGCTTGGCAAGTATCTTTTTGTCTTTAACTATAGATTTTTATTGTAGATTTTTGGTTGTAAATGCTGTGACTGTTACTTTAAATATTAATAAAAATCTGTTTGGTAATGAAACTTGTATAAATTGTGACTGTTATTTTAATAATTATTTGAAAATAACTCTTTTTGCAAAAAAAAAATTATGACATAAATACGATTAAAAAATATCTAAATATTATTATTTCATGTTTTGGATTTAATAAATAAAGTTTATCAAGAAGTGGAGTGACAAAAAAAAAGTTCATCAAGAAGTAGAATAAAATGTAAAACATTTGGTTTTTCTAAATCCTTTCTATAAATGTTGTATTGCATTTTCAAATATTCTAAACGGTTCTTCAAGTGTTTCCAACTCAAATCAGCTTTAAAACGATCTTTGATATAATGACGAACATCTTGTCTTTGAAGAGCATTTAAATGAATATCTTCATTATCCCGGTTTTGGTTTTATGTGATGATCACTTGTTGAAGTAACACACATGTAGACTCCTTCGACCAATTAAAAACCTGAAAAACAACTTGTAAATCTACTAATACTAAAGTATGAATTACTCGAGAAACAACTCATAAATAATTGATAGCATACCTTGTTTTTATAGGAAAATGTTGATTTGCGAACTTGAAATAACCTAAAATACTTATAAGTGTGAAGAATTTCCTTTCCTTTGCTTTTAAACAAAACTCATAATGTTTCTAGAAATTTTTAGCTTTTTTATTTTTTCCAATTCATTTTTTGAAATTTTGATATTTTATTGATTTATATAAAAATGGATCTCAAAAGAATAATTAAAAAAAAAAGATAATAATTAATCAATCAAAATCTTTTATTTATAAACTATATATAAGTTTTAAAAAAGCTTTAAATTATTTTGAGAAAGAAGTGAGAGAATAAATCATTTCAATTTTTTTTTAAGTTCAAACTTCTCTAACGAGGCTTTAGAAAAAAGAAAAAATTTGTAAAAATAATCTTAAAATTTTTTTGTTTTGAAAACTATCCCTTTTTCGAAATCTTTGAAAAATAACTTTTTCATACTTAAAATTACGAAAATATTTAAATCAAAATCCATCTTATATTTTTTAAATAAAAAAATAAAAAATATTGTATTGTTATTTTATTGAAAATAAAAGTATAAATCATCATTTTAGTTGTCGTTAGAAAAAGAAATATGATATTTGATTCATTGATTGGATATTAGTGATGTCATAATCAAGCCTTTTAAAAAAATATTAATTGTGTTATTGAGCTCCATATATATCAAAGTACTCTTTTGTCACTATCTCGATTTCTTGAAAATATCTTGACAATGATATTATGAAATCGTTAAAAATATATCAAAGTTACATAATCAAATAAAACTAATGAACTACAACTTACTTTTTAATTGTGATGAACTAAAGTATTGTATAACAAAATGTATTCTTTTTCATATATGTATATATAGGTATGTTGATGATCCATATATATGGAGTGAGTTGGATGATGGTAAAGTTAAATTTATAATTATATTTGTAAAATACGTATATCTTTCTCTCTTTTATAAACATTATATTTATATATTTATTCAATATGTCTATATCTAAATATAAATTTATATCAAAATATATCTCCTTTTTTTGTTATCAAAATATATCTTAAGTAACTAAATCGAAAATAAAATTTCTTTTAATTTTAAATGTTCAAAAATTAATTAGGATATTTTTTTTTTATTCAACAAAAAAGTTATTTCTCAAAATTTTCAAAACAGGGGTTAGTTTTCAAATTTTGTAAAATTTTTGAAATATTAAATCAATCCTCCCTAGAAAAAAACTAGTATAAAACAAGACAAAATAATAAAAGACATGTTTTAGAGACTTTAAAAGTAACAAAGACAATAAATTATGCTTGGTAAAAAATTGTCTTTAAAATCTTTTATTTTTTCTAAAACCTTAAAAGTGTGTTGCCAAACACCCCCTTAGTTGGTTAAATCTTCGACTTTGATCATCTTTGTAACCGTTATAATAGTAAAAGATGGCATATTCGTTTTTTTTAAAAGTGAGTATATTCGAACTAGACATATTTTCATTAAGTGGACACATCTTTACAAAGTAAATAAAATTTCTAACCTTTTTTTTAAGACATGTATTTTTTATGTTAAACGTCTTAAACTGCCTCACTCATAATCTCCTTCAGCCAGGTGAAAACTTGAAACCAACAAATAAACGAAAAATATGACAGTGTTCTAAGGAATATTTTAAGTGTCGTGGCTAATCCAGATATCAATAATAAATTTTACACAAACGAATATTTTTCGTATTTTGTCACAGAATTTTCTTTGTAATATAAAAGCTCTACAAACCCTTGTAAATCATAAAAAAAATGTTAGGAATTCCGTATACTGATTGGGTTATTTGCTATTATTAGATAATACTCTATATAATATACAACATAATGTAGGAAGTGAATTATTAGGTCCAACTTCCCTTCATTGGAATTACTAAGTCGAACTACATATATACTTTAGCAAAAAAATGTCCAACTACTTATTATAATTGACAATGGATCAGTTATTGGACGTGACGTGAGATGTTAGAATGATTTTGATATCATTGGTTACAGAAAAATAATATAAAAACAAAAATTAT